GCTGGGCAGATATTTGCAAGCTGGTATCTTTCTGTCAATGGTCAGAGGAAGGACACCTGGTGGTCTGGTATTTTCTTAGGGCCCTGCCTCAAACCTTGGGACTTTGTTCTTATCAGCAGGCCCTTTCCCAGGCCTCTCTAGTGGAGCTTCAGGAAACATGTTGAACCTGACTTGTCCTGGCAGCTGGCAGTGGAGGAAGGAGGAAGAAGGAGAGATTGCTCCTGAAGGAAAAGTGTACTTGGCTTTCTCATTAATGGGTTCCCCTTGGGGGACAGGCAAGCAGCAGATGCATGGGCAATGGCCAACTGATCCATTTGGAGATAGATTCAGGGTGTGGTGTTCCCTGTAAGCCTGGGCAGGCCCTGGGAAACTGGAGCAGAGCTAGATCACGGCCTGAAATTGGGCAAGCTGCAGAGGAGCTTGAATATGCTGGTTTCAGGTGTGCGAGCTTTGCTCCTGGTGGAGACCGGGGCCCTGGGGGCTAGTTTGTCTGTTGCCCAAGCATGCTTCTCAAACCTGGAGCTCCACTGATCATTTTCATTCATGAACACATTAACCGGCAAGGAGGCTTAGCTCAGCCCTTCAGAACCTGGCTTCAGTGCACCTTATCAGTCCCTTCTTTCAATACTCCCCAACACAAATCATCTATCCCACTCCTGGATCCAAGTTCACTCCAAGCCTCCACATCTTTGGGCCTTGCCTCACGCCGTTCTCTCTTCATAGAATGCCTTTTCTCCTAGTAAGCCACTCCTGGAGAAGCATCCCCCCAATGCCCAGAGGCTCAATACATCTCTCTCCTCTCTCCTCCTATGCCCCAGATTCACTCTGTTGGTCTCTGATCTAGCTCTATTATGTTTACTTTGTGCCTGCCTCCAGGCATGCTGATGGGCAGTTCCCTGAGCTTTTTGCTCCTGCATGACCAGCTCCTTCTCAACCTTCAGGTGTCAACTCAAATGTCATCTCCTCAGCTAGACCTTCCTTGACCAACTTATCTAAAGGTAACCTCCATCCATACACACTCTGTCCCATTACCTGGATTTATCGTCCTCATGAAACGTAGCATCCGGAATTATCTTCACCTATATGTCGCCTGGGCTATGTCTCTTCCTCTAGAATGTAAGCTCTTGAAGGGCAGAGATCCAGCAGAATCAACTGATACATGGTTGGCTCCCAATAAATATCTGTTGATTGATTAAATGAAGGCAAGTATGGGGTATTCGAGTTGTCACCCTGAGGACCTGGCACAGAGCCTGGCGCAACAAAGGTTGGCTGCATGGAACATTTGCTACACGAATGAATGAACCAACGAACAAACGAACCAAGGGATGCAGCGCTCCGACTGCGGACTGACAGGTTGATTGACACTTGGGGGACCCTCGGCCCGCACACTGTTGATTGACGGCTGACAGCTGAGTGGCAGCCAACGGACGCGCATCGGGGCTCCTGATTGGCTGGCGGCTGCAGCCCCTTAAAGGGGAAGGGGAGGGGGCCTGAGGCGACCGCTGCGCGTGGGGAGGAGGCGGCACCAAGCGCCGGGAGGCGGCCCAACCGCCAGAAGCTGGGTGAGCAACAGTCGCCTCGAACCAGCGAACCGACGTCTCGCGCAAGGGCCCGGCGCGAGGGGCGGGGCGCGCGCGTCACGTGAGCGTGTTTTGGGCACGTGACCCGCGCGGGGCCAAGGCCGGCCCCCGCCCCCTCCTCTCCTCCCCTCAGCGGGTGTGAGCCGAGCCGCCTCGCCTCACCGCCTAGCGCCCCCCTCAGCCGCCGCCGCCTCCGCCCGCCGGCCATGTCCCTCGGCCGCCGCCGCCGCCGCTCCAACGCGGCGCTCCCGCGGCCCAGCGCGCAGTGAGCGCGGGGCCTTCTCGCCGCTCGCCCGCCCCGGGGCCCCCTTGTTCTCAGCGCCGCCGCCGCCGCCGCCATGTTGGGTTTAGAGCCGCAGCGGAGCCGCCGCCGCCGCCGCCGGTGAGGGAGGCCGAGAGCGGAGCCCGCCCCGCCCCGGGGCCCAGGGAGCGGGGCAGCCTCGGAGCCCGGCCTCTCCCCGCCAGCCGCCTTCCCGGCCCGCCCGCCGTGCGAGCCAGCGAGCGCCGGGCCGCGGCCGCGCCTTCCGCTCCCGGCCCGAGCGAGCCCGCCGCCCGTTCGTTACCCCGCCGCCGCCGAGCCCGGCCAGAGCCTGCAGCGGAGCCCACGAGAGTCAGCGCCATGGCGGAGCAGACCTACTCGTGGTGAGTGCGGAGCTTGGGAGGCCGGGGCGCGGCGCAGGTGGGGGTCGGGGCGCCGGCGCGGCCCGGGGGGGGGAGGGGGAAGAGGAGGAGGAACAGGTGCGCGTTGGTGGGGGGGCGGGAGTTGGGGGTGCACGCCCCCCTCGTCCCCACCAGAGGGGGTGGCTGGCGCTCGTGGAAGGCGGTCAGTGGCCGGGGACCCGGAGTCCAAGACAGGGGATGGAGGCGGCGGCGGCGGCCGCGGCAGATGTCATCTGGTCATGGGCGGAGCAGGTGATGGAGAAGGGGAGCATGACCCCAAAGGTGGGAAGCCCACGGATGGGAAGTTGAATCTCGTGGGCACCCCGGGACTGATTTGCGGGGGTGGTTCCTGGGCCGGAGGGTTGGAAGGGTGGGCAGAGGCGGGCCGGGGCAAGGGTCGGCCACTGGGCTGCGAGGAAGCTGGTGGGAAAAACAGGTGATAAGAGGCTGAACTTGGAAGTTGTGAAAGAGGAGGAGCCGTCTAACTGGAGCTGCTGCTTGGCACCTGGCTGGCGAGTGAAGGGAGAGTTGGTGGGGTGGGAAGAGGCCCGGGTGTGACCGAAGGAAAACCGCGGAAGAAGGGAGCGTCTTGGGAACCATGGAGGGGAGTCCCTTGTGAAGAGGTTGGAAGGGGATCCTGTTTGGATAACCACGTTCTGGAAAGGAGGTCGTTGGTGGCAGTGGGGCATGAGCAGAATCTTTGTGAGGGTTGGTACTCTTCTTCAGAATTTAAAGTGGCCTGCTGCCCTGGATCAGGTATGGAGATGTAAGATCTGCAAGTTACGTCCATTTTTATGGGACTTCCAAAGTTATTAAATAGCTTGTTAAGGACTGAGAAGTGTGCTGTGTAGTTCATGGAGGGAGAACTTACGTATCCTGAGAAGGAAGTGCAGTGTTTGGGGAGAGGGGGGTGAGAGGCTTCCCTTTAGCATGTGGAGGTGGAATATTTCCAGGAGGGGTTGAAGGAATGATGATAGTTTCCTTGAAGAGTAGAAATTGGATAGTGGGGAGGAAGTAATAACCGGGGGGTGAGGAAGGAAGAAATGGGATGGTAGGTGTGGGATGGGAAATCTAGTTGCAATCTAGAGAGATTGAAGATGGTTTACTCTTTGAAGCAAACGTGGTTTGAGACAGAATTGTACTGCTTTCCCTTGTTAGAAAAGAGAATAATTGAGTGGGAAGAGCATGGCTTTTGGAGTTGGAAGGCTTTGTTTGGAAGTCCTGTTCACCACTGACTTTGTAATTGGGCAAGATAGTAAGTTCTCCATTCCTTTTCCCTTACCTATTAAATAGAGGAATTGCCTTTTTCATAGGTTGTAAAGATTAAATGAATAACTTTACAAAGCACATGGCAAACTGTAAAGTGTTGCTTTTTATTACATTATAGTTAGGGGAACAGCAAAAAAATGGGTGATATGTGAGTTAGGGGAACAGCAAAGAAATGGGTAATATGTGAAAATAAAGAATGGTTTTAGGTAAAGGGCTTTAATGGAGTGGATGCTTTGTGGTGGTTGAGGTTATGATAGGTAAGTTAGGAAAGCATTGTGTCTTCACATATGGAAAGAGGATTGGTGATGGAAGATCATAATTCAAAAGGGAACCTCAGTGCTCAAAAAGAAGATAAGTGTGAGAGTCTGAAAAAAAGTAACACTAAAAGAAGAATTAAAACATTGGTGAACAGTTGTGACTGCAAGTGTATTTTTAAAAGTGTTAACTGATTGGATAGTTTTGAGCAACAGTGAGCTGCCTCTCCTTAGCAGGTAATATGGAACACAAGATTACAGTTTGAGCTTTTCTTATGCACATATCCATAACTAACTTAACTAACTCATCTTGAGCTCTTAACACTGGCTGCCCCAGCTGAGAGTCCTGATGGCTGCCCTTCTGCTTTTACTGTGCCATACATATAGAGACTGTGGATGGTTGAAGGAGTAGACACTGGCCAAGAAGTGGGGAAAATGAGAGGGTTTTACAAGTTAGTTTGGCCACACGCTATCCGTACGTGATGTTGGACGGCTCTATTAGTTAAGGTGGGACTATTTTGTGAAGTTTGGTGGTTTATAATATTTATCCTACTGAAATACTTCAATCTCAGCTCCTTTTGCTAGAGAAGCTCCTTGAAATCAGAATGCTTACTAGGGTCTCACCTTTAGCAAGTTTTGAGATGGAGAAAGTTTTTGCATCATCTTGAGAGAGGGAGGTGTATGAGGAGAGAGGATTGGGAAACCAGGCAGCTTTCTAGGTTCTGATAGTTACCGTAGGTAATTATCCATGTAAGGTATAGGTTTAATTCCCACCCTTCCCTGAGGTAGGTGATCATTCTCTGTTTTATGGAGGAGGAAACTTAGGCTCAGGAGGCCAAGTGATTTGTCCAAGATACTTCACCTGTGATGCTTTATTTTGTTTGACACAAATTCTCTCATCGTTTTCATTCTCCTTGTAATATAAGTGTGGACAAAGGTATTCCAGAAGTACATGTGAACTGAGCTTTGGATTATCTCTCATTTTTCAGTATCTTTGTCACTGGTCCTTTGGTTTGTGTAAATAGGAGTTGTTTTTTAACAGACTTGTACTTCATTTGTATGTTGCCTTTAGGAAAATCAGCCTTGTGGGGACTGTTATGACAGTCTGAGGTATTGTCTGAGGATCGAGTCAGTGAAGAATATAAAAGTAGACGTCAGAAGAATGAAAATAGGTTCCTTAGAATTTTCTTTTCTCTCTCTCTCCTTTTTTTAAAGATTTTATTTTTAAGAATCTCTGCACCCAACATGGGGCTCGAACCCACAACCCTGAGATCAAGAGTCACAAGCTCCACCGACTGAGCCAGCCAGGTGCCCCAGGATTTTCATATAATAAGATATGTAAATTCTAAAGCAAGATTGGCTGTGAGGTGGTAATTGTCAAAGCTTAGTGATGAGTACTTGGAGGTTTATTCTGTATACTTTGACATGTTTACATTTTTCATAATAAAAAGTTAATTAAAAAAAACTTCTACACGTGCTGTTCATGCTGTTTTCTGGTTTCTTGTGCTTGCGTTCTGTGTTGGGAAGCCAGAGTGGGTGTACTGAATTAAGAATATATAGGTTATGACCTGATGAATGAGGGGGCACAAGCCACCCAGGTAGTTGGCAAGTAGCTCTCTCAGCATCCGAGCTCCCACTTTGGGGAAGTGAAATCCCAAGGGGTTACTTCAGTTGAAGGTGCAGTTTCAATACGCCCATACAGTGGAAGTACAGTAGTCCCCCGTTATCTGTGGAGTTTACATGCCAGGATATCAGTGGATGCCTGAGATTGAGGGTAGTACCAAACCCTATATATACTATGTTTTTTCTATACATACATGCCTGTGATACAGTTGAAATTAGAAATTAGGCCTTGTAAGAGATTAACAACAAATAAAACAATTATACTGTAATAAAAGTTATGTGAATGTGGTCTCTCTCAAAGTATCTTCATGTACTATATTCACCCTTCTTGTAATGATATGAGATGATAAAATGCTTATGTGACGAGCTGAAGTGAGATGAATGACCTAGGCATTGTGGTGTAGCATTAGGCTACTATTGTAACCTTATGACCGTACATGAGGAGAATCATCTGCTTCCAGACTGTGGTTGACCCTGGTAACTGAAACCATGGGGCCCAGTGAGCCAGGGAAAGGGCAGTCCTCTGTCCCAGGTCATGAACAGGAGATACAGACTAGGATAGCAAACACCTATTACTTATAAGGTGATTGGTGTGGAGGTCCGTAATTTGGGGGGCTTACCTCTAGTGGTTATTTTTAAAGGTGCCCGGGGGAAAAGCAAAGCAGGGACTTGTGGTGGGCATCCTAAACTCAAATCCTTATCTAAATGTCCAGACTCTGGGTGTGATTACAGATATCATACTGTAAAATGGCTAGGCAGCAGCTGTGAAAAACAAAGTTCTTGTCTTCGAAAGTTGTTTCCCTCATCACATTTTCTTTCTAGCAAATTCTATCACAATCCCATTACCCAAGGGTTCACCTGAAATTCCACGTAGCTGAGAAGCATTTTCTGATCACCCCAACTGAAAGTGATCTCTTTGTTGTTGATTCTTGTAGTCGTCTGCATCTTTCCTTCCTTTATGTGTGTGAATATCTAGCTTCTTCATTAGATTGTAAACTCCTTGAGGGTAAGACAGTTACACTACCTTTTGTCCTCCCATATACTTAGCACATTGTCTTGCCCATAGCTTCTACTTAGAACACGTTGATTGAATATGATAAATTTTCAGGGTGGTTCATCCTTTGTTGAAAGAATATTTTAAATGTAAGGGAAAGCTACAGATAGGTGAGTGTTTATTATAATCCTTATACTTATAAAAGAGAGCTTTTGGTAATTTAGTTTCCTAATATCACAGTGCTGTAAGAATGAGTAATCCCATCCTTAATAAAGTTTTAAATAAAAGCTATTGACAGATGAAATTGAAATAATTGGTAGTAACACCACAATCTTTATCACGATGTAACCACAAGATTCAGCTTGTAGACTTTTTGCTTGTGTACCGAGGAAGTAAAAGAACGCCTGTGAAAACACAAATAGAAGGTGCAAACTAGATTTTTTATTAATTTGAGGAAAACACCTTGCTCGATATATATTTATGAGCAGTTGTTTTAGCATAAGTTCTGTGGGAAACAGGACTTGTCTCTCTTTTTTTAAATTTTTTTAGGAACTTCTCTCTTGATGGAGTCAATGCAGTATTTGAATCTTGGTGGTAAAAATGACTTATGTTAGGGTTAATGTTGGTGTAGAGGGAAAAGGAAATAAATACATGTGAACTTCATCGGGATGAATTTTATTACCAAAGTAGTATCATAATATTTTATTGTGTGTTTTCTGGGTGCTAGGGCTTTAAAGCATTGATAAGTAAGGAAACAGGCTCAAAGAATTGAAGTAACTTGCCAAATAACATGTAAATGGTAAAAGGGCTCAAAGTCAAGACTGTTTAACATGAAGATTCTGTCACTGAATCTTTCTACTTCCATTTCCACAATCACTAATGTAAGCCAGCCCATCTTTTGCTTGAGTTCCCTGTTAGCCTCCTCACTGGGTTCCCCTCTCCTCATTCTCCACATCATGGCCATTCTCCTGAGTGGACTTCTGACTGAAATCAGATGTGCCTGTCCTCTGCTTAAAACTCTTCAGTGGTCACACTTGGAATAAAATCCAGGTTCCTCAGTAGGCTCTTCAAAGTCTCATCTTGTGTGTGTCTCTGAGGGTTGACAGACAATAAACAAACTAAAAGTTAACACGGGTAAGAATCTATTTTGGCACTCTCTCCAGTGCCTGGCATGTAATGGGTAGCTGGTAAATACTTACTGAACAAATGAATGAGAACGCTTGCCCCTGGGCTATGTATCTTAAGATCTCTAAGGATTGCATTATATTGAGGTAGTATACTGTGATGATAATGGGCTTTATCCTGCTAGGTATTTGCAAATAGTACTACACCTGAGAATGAGAAATAACACAGATCTCTAGAACTTTCTGGAAGTTCCTTCTGTGCAATTACTGTTGTGTGTCATTGTATCTGTTGTGATCATACCTGTTTCTTCGTATCTTGTGGTCTTTGCATCTTACGCAAGTTTTTCAGAGAGAAACTAGTTGAAAATGTTTGTCTAGCATTATAGATGTTAGATTTGCTCACTTTTAAAACATGTTTTGCTTATAGTTAATGTGCTATAATAATGGTTTGGTGATGCATGATTCAGACTGAAATTAACCAAAACTAAGACCAGGAATATGTACTGAAATTATTTTCCTCAGTGTTTCTTTTTTTTTTTTTTTTTTTTCCTCAGTGTTTCTTATGAAGCCTGGGGATGGGGGAGAGGGAAGCTGGAGAGTGTGTAACCTTATCAGCCTATAATTTGCCAAGTGGTATTATGAATTAAAATGCCTAACGTCCATGCATTTCTTATAACAGATTTCTATGTGACCATTTATTTTAGAGATGACAAATGCCATGAATTGAGGTGTTATGGAGTTCTGTATAATTGTATTTTACTTCAACATTAATAACTTATTTTTATCATTCTTGTGTTTCATCAAACTATCTCATGGAAAATCAGGGGATGTCCTAAGAGGAGGGTGTCTTGCCAAGTGCTGTTGGCTACATTTGGCATCTGAACTTTATGTGATTGCTGTCCCTGGCAATAGAGCCATAAGTATGACTTGATTTGTTAAATTCTAGAATATATTTTCTGGAGTTTAATGGTTGCTTTTTGAGAGTTAAAGGAAAATGTTTTATTTGTTGTATGTATAAACCAAATTTTTACAACTTTGCAATGAGTTTCTGTAATATTTTCCAATCCTCAGTTAAAAGGTTAGAGGTAGAGTGCTCCTCTTCTGTAATTTTAACCTCTTAGGTGTCTAGAGGGGCTCCAGGTAACCAAATTCAGTTTTATAGGGAAAATCTACAGTTAGTCCCCATGATCCTCACAATGAATTCTTACCTCCCAGATTTTATTAATAGGTCTCACTAGGTCCACAACTTAAAACAGACCCACTCATTAGCTATGATTAGACTAGATTGAGTGCCTGTGAAAAGTCAGGTTTGAAAATATTTTTAAGGTATTAGGCCAATGAATATACATTAGCCTAATAGAGACCTAATAGAAAATCCCATTTCTTGGTTTTTAGGTTTTACCCTAACTTGGTAAGAAGAGTTGATAATCTCTATTTTGGAGTTCTGGTATTTATAGTTGAAGAACCACTAAGGGATAAAAAACCAAAGTGTACTAAAGTAGAGATGTGCTCTGCTTGGTTTTTACATGTTCGTGAATTGTATTGAATATAAGTGATTGCTCAAAAAGTATTCGATTCTGCCAGTGCCACTAATTAAATTTTTGTTTGAAATTGAAATTCCAAAATGTTAATATTTAATTCTGTTCTGGTTTCTTTGAATTGGGAAGGTTTTTGTTTGAGGGTGATTTCCATCTCTGATGAACTGTGCTCTAGTATTGTCTTAGTCACAGTATTGTATTCTGTACAGTGGTTATGCCTGTCCAGTATACTCCAAAGAGTTGTTGCAAGGGTTCAGTGAGATAACATATGTGCAAATGCCTTGTAAATTGCTAAGTGAAATATAAAAGCAAGGTATTTGTGCTCTACATTGTTAGATCCAGACAGGTTCCAGATACAGAGTTCCTCACTACAGAAATGATTTTTCTCGTTTCATAATGTAACCAGCATTTAAACTTTGAGATGTCCATTCTAGTGAGAATTCTTTTGAGATATCCAAATAATGTCATATAAAAAGAAAGAATAGTTTGCAAATTGTCATTAATATTGTTGCCTTTGAAATGTACTATAAGGCCATCTTCTTTTAGTCACATTTCATAGTCCAAAAATAAGAAAAATCGTGAATTGAATAAAACTTATAAAAATAAGTTTTTCCATAAAAGTTTTATTTTGATCTTTGGAAGGCAGATTCCTTCAAATGAGGGATGAGAACAGTGGTGTGGATAATCCTAGTCTTTTCCTGGTTTTCTTTGGAATGCACAGGATACTCATACCCTAAAATGCCCAAGGAGGGCTGTTAGCAGTTTCTTATCTGTTTCCTTATTCCATACCACGTCTGCTAGGCACACCCACTTCCCTTCATAGGAGGGCCTCAGACTTTGGCTTCACTATTGACCTAAATAGGACATGTGCAGCAAAGTTTTAGTTGTTTTCTTCAATTTGATTATACAGACATTTTGACTTAAGTACAGTGCTTGACTTTGTTTCCTTGTCTTAATTTTTTGCCCGAGTTGTCTAGCTTTACTTTCCAAATTTGTAAATCTTCGGGCTTTGCCTGACGGCCTTAACTTTT